GGTGTGTGAAGGGACAGGCTAAGCCTGCTGCATGCCTGCAGCAACGATTGATAGGCTCCAGCGAGGCCCGTCACTGCAGGCAGCTCTTCCCCAGCTACTCAGCATTCAAGGCCAGGCTGGATGTTGTTCTGGGCAACCTGCTCTAGTTAAAGATGTCCCCACTCGTTGTGAACGGGTGGACTAGATGAGCTTTGAAGGTCCCTTCCGACCCAAACCATTCTATGGTTCTATGATTTGTTCTGGGAAGCAGACGCTGAGCACTGGCTGAACTGCTTCCAGGGAGAGAGGGAAAATAACTACGGGTGTCACAGCCATGCAGGCTGCATGTGCCCAGTGCTGGTCAAGCACTGTCCCCCCAAACTCATCCCCCTGCCCAGCAGCCCCTACCTCTCTCCAGGAGGACATGTACCAGTCCAGGCACGGCGAGCTCTGGCAGGGGAGCTGAGCGGGTGGCTTGTAGAGGGCAGCCTGGCAGTGGAAGGGCCGCAGGAGCCTCTGGTCCCTGGTATCAATGCAATGCACATCCCGAACCTTCGTGCCCCCACCACAGCTCCTGGAGCACTGGGAAACAACATGAGCATCAGGCCAGGGAAGGGCAGCAAGGGCTGGTGCAGGGGGATCCCTCCATCAATTCGAGGTGACCCCAGAGACATGCTCTGCCTTGGGCTGGGTTGGGTTGATGCTCAATCTCTTTCTCTAGTCCAAGCTAGAAGAAAAGGCCATGCAGCTCTGAGTCTGTCACTGCCATCCCTCTGAACACAACTGGTTTCCAGTTGTAATGGCAACAAAGTCTTTATGCATTAGACACCCAACAATCCCAAGAAAACAGCAGCCACCCAGAGAAAGGTTTGTTCCCCATCACTGAACCCCTCAGATTCGCCCAACTCCACCACAAACACCCCCTGGCAGTGCAGAGTGGCAGGAATGTCTTCGTGGGTTTCCAGGACCCTTCCCCCTGGCTGCATTCCCGCTCACCTTGCTCCAGTTCCCCACACGCCAGGAGGAGCAGGGTCTCAGGGAACACCTCCGAGCAGGGACGGGTTTGTTGGCAGCAGCGCAGGCGGCGTCACTGCCGGTGCTGCAGCGCACGGTCCTCCAGATCGCACCCACGCCACATGTAACCGAGCACTGCAACACATGGGGTGGATTCCTGCTCCTCTCCTGTCCTGCCAGCCCCAGCGGGGCTGTCCCTGATGTCCCCAGTGCCCTGTGGAGGGCTCTAGGCAAGGACGGAACCCAGTGGCCCAGCAGAAAAGTCCCTGGGGACTCGGGGGCATCGGGAGGGTGCCAGTAAAACTGGGGCGCGTGGAAGCAGGGATGTGGGATGATGTAGAGAAAGGAGCTTTCTGCACTGCCTGGCACGGCACAGGGTGCCCAGAGAAGCTGTGGCTGCCCCATCCCTGGCAGTGTTCAAGGCCAGGTTGGACACAGGGGCTTGGAGCAACCTGCTCTAGTGGAAAGTGTCCCTGCCTGTGGCATGGGTTGGAGCTGCAGGAGCTTTAAGGTCCCTTCTAACCCAAACCATACCATGGCTCTATGATTCTAAGAAGATGCAAAAGTGCCAGTGTGAGCCATGCACGTTTTCTGCATGCAAAAGCAATGCCCCAGAGACAAGCCAGGAGAGGGACAGGTCTCTCACCTCCATCCCAACCATATCACGCTTAACTGGACTCAACACATACCTCGCTCCAGTTCCCAACCTCCCAGCTGGGCATCGCAGTGGCTCCCACGGTGGTCAATGGTGGAAGCAAAACCTCCTCCTTCTCCATCTTTTCCCCCCGCCAGGGTGGCAGGGGAACAGGGGTGGGCTGGGATAACTCATGCTCACCATCATGGAAAGCCAATGTCCCCAAGGTTGCCCACGGCAAGCGCTTCCCTGGCATGGTGCTGCTGAGTGGGGTCCCGTGGGAGCTCTGCTCTTCATGAAGCGGTCCCAGCTCTGGGTGCTGGGACACCCCCATGGTCCACCATGCCGGGGGGGACTCAGAGGGCGATGCTCCTGCTGGGTGCACAGGAGGGCTGTGAGCTGGAGCTGTGGGCACGGCTGGTGCTGGCACATCTTGCTGAGTGAGGCCGCTGGAGGTGAGCTGGGTGGCTGGTCTGGGCACGGCAGGGGACAAGGACACTGCTGCTGGAGGGGCTGTAGTGGCCACCAAGGGGGGCAAGGTCAGGGAGGTGAGGGTGTGGAGCTCCGGCTGCCCCACCAAACCACCATCAGCACCCATAGGGTAGGAACTTGCAGGGAGATGGGTGCTGCCAGCACTCCTTCCCATCTCCATCTCCCACCGCGGTTCCTGAAGAGTGGGGAAGGAAAGATCTTCCCTCTCTGTCCCACGGGACTGCTCATCAGCTGCTGGCATTGTGTGTCTGCCCGCTGTCCCCTCCGGCGTTTCTTCCCACCCTTCCTGCTCCATGGTCTTGGGGGCAGCACCATCAGCATCACCGGTGATGACAAGACCCACTTCCCCTGAGTCTTCACGGCCTCTCCCCGCAGAACCAGCCAGGTCGTGCTCCTCACTGCTGGTGTTACCCATCCTCTCAGTGCTCACATGCCCCTGCCCACGGCTCCCTGGCTCTCCATGGCTGTTAGATGTGTCTGTGCCAGCGCTGCTCCTGCCAGCGGGCAGTGGTGGGGAGGGATCAGCTGGGGAAGGAGCCTGGGAAGTGAGGCCATGGGCTGGAGCACCCTGCCCAGCGCTGGTCCCTGTTGGCACGGCTCCCCAGGGCTCATCCACGAGCGGGTGGTCATAGCTGTGACTCGTGGTGCTCTGGGTGGGTGGGTGCTCCTCAGAGCGGGGTGTGAGCATTACATCCTCCTCCTCACCCACAAAGGCAGGGATGGCATATCTGGGAACAGCAGTTTCCGCATCCTCAGGGACCATGCTCAGGTCATTCACATCGAATCCCTCAGGCTCCATCTCTCCTTCACCATGCACAGGAGCAGAAGTGTTTGCTTCGCTGGTCATCAGATGGTCCTCACTTGCTGCTCCGCCCAGGACAGTGGTGTGCAGGACATCAGCTGGCATCTCACGGGGCCCCTCCACATCGTTGGTGCTCAGCCCTGGCTTAGGCTCCTCACCTTTGGTCTCTTTCTCTGTGAAGGGATAGTAAGACAGATCCTCGTGGAAGTTGATAAAATTATAATCATAGTAAAAATCATCAACAAAGACATTTCCCTTTCCGGCTGAGAAGTCCTCCTCAGTGATGATATTGACATCATTGGACTCTGGAATATTTGGAATTAAAGAGTTAAATTTAGGAATGTGGTTGCTGGGAATGTAGTGGATTTCATTAAATATCTCCCTGCTGGAGGACCCACTGCCAGACCAGTCCGTGTTGGCACTGTCCAATTTCTTCTGGCACCGTGGCAAGGAGCAAATAGTTTCCGAGCTGGGTCTTTCTGCAGGGTCACAGGCGGCTCCAGTGCTGTTGCTGCAGTAAACAGGGCGCCTCTGGGTCCCATTGCCACACGTGGCAGAGCACTGGGAAAGAAGGAGAGACACCAGTGTCAGGCAGGGTGCAGCAGGAGGAGCAGGAAAGGAGCCCATGCCCCTCGCCGGTGCTCCACTCTGAGATACCAAAGTGGGTGCTCAACTATCCCATGTGCCACAATGCTTTGGGCACAGGAAGAAGGGGCTCCACATCCCCCTGCCATGCTCCCACCACCCACCTGGGTCCCAAGACATCTCCTATGCCAGTCCCACCAATGGCATGGGGTCCCTGCACCACGTGTCAGGAGCAGGAGGTACTGGTCACACCAGTGAGCAGTGTTATTACTGGCCATGTCTAAAGCCAGGGCCGTCTCCACATTGGAGACCATCCCAGGCAGGGTTGGAATCGTGGGCAATTTGCACAGGGCAATCCCTGTCCTGTGCTCCAGCCAGAAATAATTTTCCCGGGAGATGGCCATTGTGAAGGGCATGGGGTAAGATGATCTAATAGGTCTTTTGTGTGACCTATCACCATGAATTGCATCTCTTCTTCTAGAAGAGAACTTCGTGAAGCAGGGAATAATAACATGGGTGTAGTCTTAGTAGGGAAAAAGCCAGGGTCAATAAGGAGCTTTGTTGAGGGCAACCCCTCCTACACCACAAGAGTCTCTTTGAGATTGCTCAGAACAGAAGAAACCCACAAGCTGGAGGAGAGGCCAGCAAAGTTTGCTGATGGGTAAGTAAATCCCAGCGCTACTAACACCATATGTGGGCTGCGCAAGCCACAGGCCCTGCAGTCTGCGGTGACAGAGGCACAGAGCATTAGTCACGTACACCAAAGCACCTCAGACAAGCCAGCCAAGGAGAACAAATGGTCAGCAAGGCAAACAAACCCGGTGGAGCTGACATCCCTGTTATTTGGATGAACATGGATGGGCTGAGGCAAGGGCTTGATGCACAACCACCATCGGATGGAAATTAAGAGGTTAGGGTGGGCTGGGCCGGGCTGGCCCGGAGATGTGCTCCTCAGGCCACGCACGCTGCTGTGTTCTGAGTCTTTCTTGTCTTTGCTCAGTCACCGGGACCTGCACCTCTCCCTGTGCCCGTCCTGACGGGCTCCCGGGTGGGTATCCACCCGTGGGACATCTCCTTCCAGGTAGAGGCTGTCCAGAGGCATCACAGCAGGTTGCACGGAGGTACGTGCTCCTGCCAGGACACACATGCCCCGGTTTGTGTATTAACTGACAACAAATAATACTCCCAACTGCACTGATAAACTTCTTTGGCAAGTCCATAAAGCTGGGTACACATTGCTGTAGGGTCCTTCTGAAGGCACCAAGTGCCAGTGTAAGCACGTTGTTGGGCTACCCAAACCTCATCTAACCCCTTAGGCTTCGCAGGCTGCCCAGGCACTGCTGGTGCCAGAGAGGCACACATGGTGCCTCAGCAGAGGGTCTGCAAGTGGGAAAAGAGCAACAATCCCCTATTATCATCACTGGACAGAAGGACCACACTTCTGGGAAGCTCCCAAGACCCTCAAGTTTCTCTCCTTACTGGAGAGAGTACGTAGGGAAATGGAGTCTTCTCCATTTCCATCACTGGTGGTGGGAAACAGAGGAGAAGGAGGGCTCTCACTTTAAGTGAAAAAAGGGCAGAAAAGTGACTGACATCTCAAGATCTCAAGCACATTTTGCCTGGGCTCACAGCCTCATCAGTGCCAACACCACAGAGGACAACTGGTGGCTTGTGCTGGCTCTGTGCTGCCTCAGCCCTGCAATTGTGGCTTTTGTGGGCCCCTAGAAAAATAGTTCTAACCAGCTCCCATTTAATCTTCAATTTTCTGTTCACATTTTGATTCCCCTTGTTTCTTAGCAACAAGCTCCCTTCCCAGGCTCGCATTTCTCTCCTGGTATTTGTCTTCACGCTGAACTCTTTGGAAGCCACTGCTTAAATCAGGAGGTGTAATTTTCTGGTTGAACCCCTCAACCCATGGTTAAGCTGATCCACAGCAATAGAGTCCCCCGTTCCCACCAGCTTTGCAAGACACAGGGACCCCCCGTCTCCTTCTCACCTCGGACCAGTTCCCCACGGCCCACTGGGAGGGACAGGGGACGTCCCGGTGACAGGGCGCGGTGGCGTCGGGCTTGGCGAGGTGCTGGCAGTCCGCGTGCTGCAGGGCCCTCTGCTCGTCCAGCCCCACGCTCTGGATGCACAGCACCGTCCTCCTCATCAGCCCCGCGCGCCCGCAGGTGACGGAGCATTTCTGCCACTCACCGACCCACCACCTGCCACACGTGGAAGGGAAACGTCTGAGCTGGGCTCTGGCCTGGACCCACCGCGCCGAGCCAGGAGATGCACATGAGATGCACATGAGATGCACATGGGCTTTGGCAGCCCGTAATGATCAGCTGGGGCCGTGGGGGAATTAATTACGGTCCCAAGTGCAGCTTGTGTTCCAGGCCAAGGTCAGGGAACCTGGACCAAGGGGCAGGGATCATAGAATCATGGAATCAACCAGGTTGGAAAAGCCCTTTAAGCTCATCAAGTCCAACCCTTCCCAAGCACTGCCAAGGCGACCACTAACCCAG